CTCACCTCAGCCTCCCAAAGTGCTGGGATTACAGGCTGAGCCACCGAGCCCGGCTCCAATTTACTTTTAAATAAACTATATTTTTTAATCTTAAAAAAAAAGAAAATATACTCTATTTTTGTTATTTTTTGTTTTGTTCTGCATCAGGGTCTCACTCTGTCACCCAGGCTGGAGTGCTCACCATGGTCTTGACTTCCTGGGCTCAAGTGATCTTCTGTCCTCAGTCTCCTGAGTAGCTGGGACTACAGGCACTTGCCACCCTGCCCAGTTAATTTTTATATTTTCTGTAGAAACAAAGTCTCACTATGTTGTTCAGGCTAGTATCAAACTCCTGGGCTCAAGCAATCCTCCAACTTTGGCCTCCTAAAGTGCTGGGATTACAGGCTTGAGCCATCACACCTTGCTTAAAAATTTACTCTCAACTCACAAACTTATAGGAACTTCCCTAGAACTGACAATCCACCAGAAAAAGATGGTTCTTTTTTTCTGGGCTCAAGAGGGAAGAAGAAAAGAGTGTTGTTATGAAAAAGGAAGCAGGAAAAGTAAAAGATTAATGAATAAGGGTTATCACTAAAAGGCGAGGGAACAAGGGAATCTTATACAATCAGTGTGGCACAGTCACAAGCCAGATAGAGTTTGATCCTTACCTGCCCTGCTCCAAAAGGACAATATCCTTCCACCCCATTTTGGAGAGGTGATAGGCCACAGATGTCCCCATGATTCCACCCCCACAGATGACCACCTGTGCCTGGGTGGGCAGGGTGGTGGAATGTGCCTCGGCAGCTGATGCGCTGCTTCTTGCTGAGGACCAGTTCTGCCATCCCGGGCTGGTTCTCTGTTTTCCAATGATAGACAGCAACCGGTAGAAATTCATGTCTGTCACCAACTGGGAGATCCCAAGAACTCAAACTAGACAGAGAAAAGCAAAAATATTTCATTCCATTTAACTCAGTGCATGGGATTAATGAGAAAAGGATTTAACAAGGAACAGCAACTATTCATTCAAATAATAGGTATTCTGGCCGGGCTCGGTGGCTCAGCCTGTAATCCCGTGCCTTGGGAGGCTGAGGTGAGTGGATTGCCTGAGCCCACGAGTTCAAGACCCGCCTGGG